TTATTGGGCAATTTTATCTTTCTTTTAAGCACAACATTGTCGAGATTTACGTCCTTTTAGTGTTGTTGAAGATAAAGGTTTTGAAGAACTTGCTCAAATGTTTATTCGAATTGGTGAGAAGATTATTTCAAAAATTCATATGCTTAAAATATTCTTAACTTTTTTCAGGTGCTCAATATGGTTTAATAGATGCTCAGGAGTTGTTACGAAGTCGTCAAACTGTTGCTCGTACAGTTAATGAATTAGCACTTAAATATCGTACAGATCTAAAAGATCAGTTAGTTGAACCATTAAAATCAAAATCGGTTACGATTTGTCCAGATTTTTGGTCAAACAAATATACTCAACAAGCATTTTTAGGGGTTAATATTACATTTGTTAATATTGAGCATGAGTTTAAATCTGTTGATCTACTTTGTATTCCATTTAATGGAGTTAAATCCTATGATATGATTCTTGCAGTAAGTTATAATAAATGTTTTTTTTTTGTTTTTATCTTGTACAATTTTTATCAACGATTAACTCATTCTTCCTTTATTTCTAAAGGTACTTAGACAACATTTATCGGAATTTGGAATCACTGATTTATCAGACTTGAATATAATCACAGATAAAGGTGCTAATTTCATTAAAGCATTTGCTATGTACGATCCAATTTACTGTTTCGGACATACATTGAACAATATCTTAAAAATTTGCTTCTTTCAACAGAAAAAAAAAGAAAAAAGTCAACGTGATGAATCTTCAATAGGTAATACACTATCAACAATAATGCCAAAAGAAAATAGTACTCCTGTTGTTTTAGATGAAAATACATCAAGTGCTAGTGAATCGGAGTTATCCGATTTCGAAGAAAATCAAGAATTATATTTTTTGAATGAAAATACACTAGTTAAATTTCAAAAAAAGAATCGGACAACAACAATAACACAAAAAATGTCAGTAAATGACATACCAAGTGAAGCAAAAAAAATATTAACATTAATAAAACAAACTAAAGATTTGGTGAAATATGTTAAGCAAGTACGTTGATGGAACCAACTTAAATTTTTTTTTAATCTTTAGCCTTTCATCTTGTTCTTTTATAGAGCGGTCTTAATCAAGAAATCAAAGCTGCTGGTGGTACAACACTTCATCAAGCATGCATTGTGAGATGGTTGTCGTTATCTAATCTGTTGGAATCAGTAATACATGCTTTTAAAACCATTTAAAGAAATGATAAAAATAATTCAATATGGCAATGCACCATCTCTTCATTTAGTTTCGATGTGTTATATCACATTAAAAGAAGTATTAGGTTCTTATGAAATGTTAAAGCAATACAACAAAGATAATAATAACCATGATGACGATGAAAATTTAGATTTTATAAATGATTACGATTTGGAACACGAATTGCCCGGTAATGATTTCAAAAAATGCTTCTTTATAAAGATAACGATATTTTTAGGGATAACATGGTTTCGTCAACGATTGCTATTGTTATTAAAAGAAATGTTTATCCTCGATATTCGTCATGTGGTGGCAACGTTGCTACATCCCCGATATAGATCATTAAAAAGATTTCCTGATCACATCAAAAATCAATGTCACACGTATGTACGTAAAAAAATTAGACAATTACGTGATAAAGCTGAAATGGAAATAGAATTACAACCAAAATTATCTGAACCAACAGCAAAAAAGTTTAAGAATGGCAACAATTTATTTAGCCGATTCGAATCGGAAAATTTTGATGAAGATTCAAAAAATGTTAATGGAAGCGATTCCGGCAGTGATGAATTTGAATATAATATCAAGAAAGGTGATGAACTTGATCGATACTTATTATTTAAATTTGAGAAAAACAAAGAGACAATTGAACCTTTATATTTCTGGAAAATTTATCGAAGTGAATTTCCATTTCTTTCTCAATATGCTCGATCTGTTTTATCCATTCCAGCTACAACAACAAATGTTGAAAGAGAATTTTCAACAGCAGGCTGGATATTAAATGAACGAAGAACAAATTTAAAGCCAGAGGAAGTCGATAAAATTTTGTTTGTACGATCGATGGAAAAACAATAACAAAAAATAAACTTCTTTTTTTACTTTTTCTCTTTCTTACTTATGATTTTCTCTTATTTATTGTTAATTATGTCTCTTTTTTTCTTATTACTTAGAAAAATAAAATCAATACTTGAACTTATATATTGAGATGGTATTTATCGTAATCTTCATTCTTATGTTTATCATTTTCTTTGTGTTTATTATTACCTTAGCCCTGTCATTGAATTGAGATGAATGACTGAGAAATGGCTTTCAATATTATTCTAAGCAATATTTAATCTTTTATGTTAAAACATACTAAGAATATTGAATTGAAATTTTATCTGTGCCCTGCCCTGCCCTGCCCTGTCCTGTCCTGCCCTGCAGGGCAGGACAGGGCGAATTTTTTTATGCGCCATTTTTTTATCAGGGCAGGACAGGGCAGGGCAGGGCATCAGGGCAGGGCGGAAAAAAGCGCCCTGTGGACATCTCTGATCTGTATCTACTCAATATATTGAGTATTTTGAGAATGTCCAATTAACAAAGAAACAACAATAACTCTCTTCAAATACAAACACCGTCGATACTTCTTTTTTGAATCGTACTTTCATCGTCCATTCACTTATGCTTTTAACTTGTTATATTTCAAATTAAATATTTATATTCAAAGCCGTCACAATTACATTCATTCCATTGACAACATAATTCAAACATATCATGTTTGTAAATAGAAAACCATAATATGCACTTGTAAAAAAAACCCACATCTCTTCATCATTGCATGATAAAAGAGCATTTATACAGACTTAGGGCATACGAAAGATCTTTACCAAGCTATATCAATTTCTTATACAATACTTAGAGAAATTTTTTTCTATGAAGTGACAGAGACAACGATGCTCTATTTTTCAATGCTATTCAATCAATCTTCAACTGATATCATAATCATAAAACTTCCATAAGAACTGTATTTGTGTAAAATCTAAGGAACGGGTAAGGTAGATAAAATGTTTCAATCGCTTCATACATTTTATTAAAAAAAAAAAACAATAACACAAGATGCAGCATGAAAACCTCTACCATTTAGATACGATCGATATTTTAATAGGTCCATGTTTTGTATTCAACACGAGCTAAATTTTCATGGATCAATTTTCGAATTAAACTCGGCCGAGTACACTAAGCAAATCTATATATTATGAGAGATATTTGACTACTAATTCACTTTCTAATAGTGATAATATGACTCAAGTGTTTTTCTCTGTGTACAGTACATTTCATCAATGAATTTAGCAGGAACTGAACTATATATCGTGTATCTTGTTTAATACGGAATAAACTGCTGCAAAAATTTTCGCTGTGTACTACAGGCATCTAGCATAATAAAATCCACTACTTAAAAGTTGATTAGATTCACTTTCATCTTTTTCTATCAATTGTACCAAAAACTTGCAATTCACTCATATGTATATAAATAGACAATATTAAAAATCTCGAGACTTGCAACAAAAATTTACGAAAGAAAAGAAATTATGTTTTTTTTTCCTTACATTTCTATTCAAGTAAAAACTAAAACAAAATATTATCGATGTAAATAGCAGTGCTTTCTGTTAATCTCTTATATACAAATAAGATTTCTATGCATAGGACAAAATAAAGTGTTATAACGAATTATAGACCAAAAGACAATTTCTGTTTCAGAAAAAAAAAAATTTTCTTTTCGATCTTGATTCATTTTAATGACAATATCATGCATTCAAATGTTAAACGAATGCAACTTATTAAATCAAATAGATTCCATGCACTAGCGACTCGATATTGGTATGATATTCTTATTGATTGATTATCAAACAAGCTCGATAAATGATTCTTGTTGTTGATTGGTGTTAATAGAATTCTTTGTTTGTTTGTTTGTTCGTCGAGAATTGACATAAATGATTATCGTTATTGACTGGTATTAAAAGAATTCTTTGTTTGCTTGGTCGTCGAGAATTCATATAAATAATTAGTGTTTTTTCCTCATTCTTACATTATTGTGTGTAATTCAAAAATTTTCTCAAACGTATGATGATATTAACTGAACATTCCAATATGAACGTAATTTCTTCGAAATTCAGTGCATATCGTATACTTTTGATATATCATATCGACGAAGATGGTCACTATAATGGAAGTTACTATGATAAATTCTTCGAATATACTGCATGTGTTGATGGCGAAACATTACAGACGTTACTTAATGAATGTTATGTTACATTGATTGAAGCCATTGAAGATCCAAATAATGTACCATTTGATATGAACAATATAAAAGAATCAGTAATATTTGACTGTATTCAATGCCAGAGCGATGAAGAAATTGAAAAAGCACATAGTATGAAACAAGATGGAGCTACATTTGAAAATATCAATGAAGAAATACAAAGGTAATATAGAATTAACTATTTAAGAAAATAAAATGATGAGAATTAGAAATTTAATGAAGAAATAGTTTGATCTTTTTGAAAAGAAAAGAATATATATATGAAATGAACAATTGTTCATACATAATATCATATATATATATATATATTTAAAATTTTTGATTATTAATAGAGCTAGTATATGGAAAAATCTTTTTTCGATTAAATTCTGAAATATATTTAACCAGAAATTTAAGTAATAAGAATTTCGAATTATCGATAAGAAATACGTTGAGAATAGATTTTGATTGATTATAAGTTTGCATAATGTGAATCTATAAAACTTTGTCCGTATTATAAATCAGTGAGTATCTCTTGTCTTAATTGGTTTCGTTTTCTTTTATTTATGTTTTAAAAATTTTTGAAGTAAGTCATTCTTGATGAATACAATAATGAAGTATTCAAATATCAATAAAAATTATTTTAAATTAGAATTAGTTGTTGTTATCTGAGGAAAGATGAGCATGTGAATTTTTCGTATATCATATTGATCTATTGAAACTTTGTTTTCTATGATTAATTTGAAAATTAATATAAAATAGTTAAAATGCATTATTTAGTAATTTAATGGAATGTAACATTGCAAATAAGATTTTAGCATTATCTAGAGTTCAAAGAAAATTTTCTGATAGTTCTCAATAAAAAAGAAAAAAACATTATTGATCTTTGAGAATAAGTTGATTAGAACTCTGTTCAATGATGAATTCTATAACGTCATCATCAAGTATTTGTTCTTTTAAATAAAAGATTCTTTAAGATGAAATGATTTTTATTGAATGTAGAATTCGACGAGAAGAAAAAAAAACGAGTTAATAAATGACCGATGAAGTTTAAAAGGGAATGATTTATTTGAATTTTTTATCATGTTAACAAAAATCGATGTATAATTTCTATTGACTGTAGGAGAAACATAAATAAATCAATAATGATATTCGATTATTGACTAGTTAATTTGTTTTAGTTAAAACAAAAACTGAACAGTTCATAAGTCATAAATAAATTTGATTATTAATATGAAATATTTAATTCAAAACAACGAGTCAATTTCTTATATAATCTTTATTCTTATTTCTTCTCAGATCTATGTTATTTGAGTTCACATGATGAGATAGATATTACATAGAAAAACAGATGAAACTATTGTAAACTTTGTTTAGTGTCGTTAATAGTTTGACTTGTTTTTTGTTTTATTAAATATTGATACGTTTGACTTAATTAAAACAATAAGTAAAAAATGAATAAAGAGAAAGTATTTTTCATATAATCTTGCCGATTTACTTTTTCACATTGTTATCATCCAAGGACTCTGTCGATTGATATAAATAAAATAATCTTAGTATATATTATTTTCTATTTGTCTTCTAGAATGCGAATGCATAATAATGATCAACAATGAATTTCTTTTCATATGGATTTGGTTGATTAATGAATTTGATCAGATAATGATCAGTAGAACTTTTTTTGTTCTGTTATTATTTAACTTAGTATTTTTCTTTTTCTTTCTTGATGTATCTTATTTTCTTCTATTCAATAAATATGAAGACTACATTTGTATTTTGTCTTTGTTTATTTGCTGATACATAAAATAAAATTTTTTGATTTGAACGATAGTTTTTCTATATAAAAGAATCATTTTGACGTAACATTTCTATAATTTATTTTTCTCTTAAATATTCTTAATGTTTTGAAGGAAATAAAATCTATTGAAAGTCATGGAATTAATATTCATTTATAACATTATACAAAAAGTTAGAATGTCATTATCTGAAAAATAAAATAAGAGAGTAATGATGAAATAATCATAAAAAATTTTTTATAAATTATATTTTGTTTTGTGGAACTCACATATTTTCGAAGAAAATAGTGAATGTAAGTTTTAAGTTGAAGTTTTTGCGACTATTCTCTCCCTTCGTGTTACAGACACTTAGTAATAGAAGTCTCCATTATAGACAACCTCCCATCACTGATACTCCATTACAAACTTTAGCAACTAAGAATAGGAGACGTCAGACTTTATAGGTTATGTGAAAAATTGATCAAGTTATAATTTTGAAAGATAATCAACATGATTGTTTATAAGCTGATTCATATATATATAGTAGCGTGTAAGATCTTCTGTAGATATCATGGATATGTAAAATAGATCAATTTGCCGATTGGTTCAATGGTTATAATAATAAGAATGTTAAATTACGAAAAATAAATTTAAAAAAAAATGAAAGATAATCAGCAAATAGCAACAATGCAAAATAAAAATAGAGCACCCGTAGAAAAAAACTGTTAGCGTAATTCGTTGCGAGATTAAAAATGTGAAACACGATATACCTTTTCTTAATAATTCTCTAAAAAATGCTCTTTTTTATGTATATTGGATATATTTCGCCAGCATTGCTAAATTGAGAGTAGAATTTCATAAAGAAAATACTTCATCAATACTTCGATTAGATGTTAGTTATACAGAACATTTGATAGTTTGCGGAAGGCGGCTATCAATCGCTGTGAAGCTCCATGAACGGTACCTGCCACGGTCTTTGATAATCTGTGGAGTCTGTCTGTCACGGTATGTGACGGTTGATTACTTAATCAAATACTAATTAATTAATTAAGATGTCTGTTACGGGTTTTGATTTCGTCCGGAGCCTGTCTGTCAAAGAACTGGATTAGGAAAGTTTTCTCATTTTACATATTTTGTATTAGTTTAATAAGACTAGAGAGCATATGTGAGTTACGCATTTCAGCCGTAAAGGGACTGCGCTAACAAGCTTTTTTTATATGATTGTAATTTTGAGAAATTTTGATTGAAAATATCAAATTCATATAGATAAATATTGTCAAATACTAACATATGAATATTCTGAAAAGAAGACATGTTGACAATAAAGAAATAAATTATGGTCAAGTTAATTATTGATTGAATTGTTGTTTTTTCTTTTCTTGTTCATGTATTTCAATAACAGAAACATAGCTAATAGAGTATAGAGTCAAGGACTTTTTTGTGATATAACCTTGAAAAATCTATAGATGTTACTTTTCTAATGTTGGTATTGTTGTCGAATATTTTACTATCGACAAATTTTTCTTTGTATTAGTTTAAATAAGTATATAAATCAATCGGTAATGTCATGTTGATCATAAATATATTGTTAGAATTGAAATTACACTCTTTATTTTTTTTTGTTTCTAGCAATGAAATGCAATGAGAAGAACAAGCTTCATAATCCAATACAAAGTTTTTCTTCATTTTTCAACTAATTATTAGAATATAGATATATAAATTTTAATAAACTCATCTATAAATCATATTGAATAAGAATATGAATTACTAGAGGAGAATATCGAATAATCCGTATTCAAATTTCATTTGATTAAATATTTTTTTTAGACATTTTTGTTATGCTGCTTGTTTGATAATTCTAATAGAGGACTTCTTTGAACAGTATTTCTTTCCTATATCTTTAATGGAAATTTTCAATTGAAGAAGAATCTTCGATTTACTCTGAATTTGCACTATACTCCTATTGGAATCTTTAAAAATGACAACAAATATAAAATGTAATATGTTCTATGTCTTCAAAACAAAATAATTGAATGTGAATATGATATCTAGGTTTTCATTCTACAAGTTTAGTAGAAACCAAAACAAATAAAAACAATAATCAGAACCAATAGTTTCTATAAATATGTATATAGGACAAGTCAAGATTAGATCAGTAAATTGTACGTTTGTTGATAAGTTATTGTTAAGTCATATAATCAAAAATTGTCTTTTTGTGAATTTAATTAGACACTTGTTCTATTCTTCTTTGAATATCATCAGCTGTGCATAGAGTTTTATTTCCTTCTTGATCTTTTCTTACCTTTTGTTTTTGTATACCTTATATTTATTGTTATATGACTATCGGATACGGTTGCTTTCATTAGCATGAAACGATAGCCAATCAGTGATTGTATCAATAATAAAAGAAAGATCTATTCTGTAAATGTTATCGTATTCACATACGTATTCATACTTATATCCAGAATGTTTATTATAAGTGCCTTGAATAATCAATTATTCTTTTCAATTTTCTTTTCCAGATTTCTATAAAGAAAGCAAATCTGTATTTTTATTAATTAAAACTTTTCATGCAAAACAATCAATGTATTCATGTGAAGTTTGAACAATTTCTCTTTGGATTAAATATTTACTTGGATATCTGCCAATTCAATAGGATTAGATTAAATCAAATAAAATTCATTTAGATTTATCTAACATTACATGCTTTCTCTTTTCATTCATTAAAAGTAATGAGAACAAAATTTGATGAATAAATTTATAATAGCAAATGTTGACGTCATAGTTCTGACGTAGGAAAAAAAAAGGATTGCTTATGAATATGATAGATTTTCTTTATCTTATTTATTCCATAATTTTGTTTTCACATACTTTACTTATATTCGATCAATTAAGTTTATTATTGGCAATGTTGTTCATGTTACTTGATGATGAGTATTTTGTCAACTATGTGCAAAGATTTTTCAATTAACTTCTATGTATTATTATTAAACTATAAGATATCCTATATGTGATTTCTCATGAATTTTCAATACATATAGGTGTTTTTTAATATCCAATATAAGACATCAATAATTTTATCATTAGAACTATTTTGTAATATTAGAGATTTCTCATGAGACGTGCGTAAACTTCTGAAATGAATTAATAGATGCTACACCAATGTTTGAATGAAAGAAAAAGATCAAATTAAAATTCACACAGTCATATCAGCTGACATTATTGTTTTGTAAATTTCAACATAAAAAACTTCTATTAGAATTTTTCAAGTTGACATGTTTCTAATAAGAGTGCGAATTTGAAAAATTTTCTTCAATCAAGTCTAACATCAAAATAAATTCAAATTCAAGAAGAATTTTACTTTAATTTTTTAATTCACATTGATTGCAATTAGTTTTTTTATCAATTCTATTTTTTTTGTATTAAAAATTTTTCCAAGTTGACTTGCAAATGATAATAATGCTGATTCATATGATAAAACTTGTTTAACAACTACCTGTTATGTAAACCTATTTGTTTAATTATCTACTTATCATATATGTATACGTAAATAATTTATATGTAAAAAATCTTGCTATAAATTTTTTTTCAATATTCGATCACTAAGAAGTCATTGAAGAGAATCAAATGTAGTCAGCTAGAAAAAGATTATGAATTGCTCTATTTAAATGCATGTTCATACATTTTTGATGATTTCCAATAAATTAATTGAGAAAAAAAAAATCTTTGATAGAGCTAAAAACGACAACACCTATACAAAATGCAAAACTTATAGACCTCGGCATATACATTTATTTAATGCTCAGGCATCTAAATACTATTGAAAAAAACATTAAAATTCATTCATTAGAATCATAATTTAGTACTTATTCTAAATCTATCTTCAAAATTTTTCTTCGATTTAAGACTAATTAGCTGTTAGCATGTACGTATTTAAATAAATAAAAACTATTGTTTACACCAAGTAAAGTACGGTTTTTCTATTATATACTAATGCATTGAATGATATTTTTTTTTGATAGTTTTGACTTTTTTTTGTTGAAGAACACTTAATTTACTACAAAATTATCAGTTATCATATATCAGAACTCAAAAGAATCCAAAATTGTAAGCATTCATCGAAGAGTTACTCTGAATGTGATACTATTTTTCAAAGAAAACATTATTGCGTTCGAATTTTGCTATTTAAAATGCATTCTATTTCAATCCATTGTACCAAAATAAAAATAAGACTAGGGAATTGTGAATTTTTGTATAGCAAGGTTTATCCTAGAAACTGATGTTTTAAAAAACATTCTTATTATCCTTGAGTTGAGGCATTTTTATTGAAATAAAAACAAAGTGGAGTACATCAAAAATTCTTTTATAAACATTATTCAGTTGTATGCTTCATCATCGAAGGTAAGATCGCTGAAATTTATCGAAATGAAGATCACCGAATATATTTCGACCATCGATACTAATGAGCTTCCTTTCACTCCTATAAAACTCTAAACCACTAATTCTTTGGTTCACTCTTTCAAAACAAATATCATATGCAGACACACGCATACACTACCAACTGTTGTTGACTAACTTGACTAACAGTCACTAGGTTAACTTAGTCACTAACTTGACTTCTACCCTAAGTCAAGTTAGTTATTTATTTGACATCAATTCTAAGTCAAGTTAGTTATTAACTTGATTTAGACCTCATGTCAAACAGTAAGTACCACTGGCAATAATGACATTAGATTTCCTATATTACAAATATCATTTATGAGTATCGTCGAACATGACATCGCCAATAATGAGATCGTCGAAATGGTTGATTATCGAAATGTTCATTCTCACTGACTACT